ATTGAAGACTTTGGTGGGTGCATGGTTGGGTTCGTGCCCTCAAGTTCAGCCTTGTTAACACGCTTGCATTCCTGCACTTGACCAAGGATGCCTGGAACCTAAGGGGCGTATTTATTAACTGGAATAACCAGAAGAAGAACTGAGCATTCGTCTCATTATTATGCACCAACCAAGTGACTTAAAGCAGACTTACAAAGGGGGTCCTTGTAGCCATGCTTGACTTCTGAGCCAGTGTATAGGGTGACAGACATGGGTTTGGAAGATGATTCTTCCACATTCCAGATGGACGACACTAGTGTTCAGCCTCGGGAGGCAAAGTTCCCTTAGCTGCAAAACATCTTTTTCATGGGGTTGTGAGAACAAAAGGTAAATGAACACAGTGTGAGAAATACATCTTGAAAAGCATCATGCTCTCAGCAAATAGTAGACATGATTGCATCTGAAGGGACCCAGGTACCCTTATTTTAGTGATCGGAAGGGCCTTTCCAACTTTTTACTCCCAGCTGCACTACAGAAGGTGCTGGCACTGCCCAGTCTCTCAGGAGACTCTTCCCACAAGTGGCCTGGACACGCTGATCATTGCAGAAGCTCTCTCTGGCCTTTGTACATATGGTCACTGCTACAAATCCTGGCCTTGATGTTAAACATGCCCCAGCACACCCCAACATCTCTCCCCTCACCTTTCATTTGTTCTTACTCCTCCCTCCACAGGAGTCACGTTTTCCAGGATGTTGGATTTATAATCCTAAAGAGTGGTGTGAAGCTTGATTCACTGTCTAAACCATACTACATGCTCCATAAACACGTGCCAAAGGAATGGGCGACGGACAAAGGAAGGAATCCTTTAAGGATGCAGTGGGAAGACAGGCCAGGCTGAGAATTTAGACTCCAACCTTCAAATATTTGACCTGTTCAGTGAACTTCTCTGAAGTTGGGTTTCTGCATCTGCAGAATGGGTGTTAACATGTACTTCACATAGGATGGATGTGAAGATTAATTAAGGTAGCATGAGCAGCACATGTTGGGCAATGAATAAATGAGAGGTGTCTTTCCTTCCTTTTCCTAGCTAATGGGTAATTCTGTTCTTTCTCTGATTCATCCTGCTGCTTGAGTACCCCCTGCTACCTCCCACTGTGTTTATATACATATTTATGTTTACACGCAAACACATATGTTTAACAACAAGCTGCATAACTATCAATTCACACCAGGATGCCAAGCTCAGCCAACATATTCAGATGCTAACACCTGTGATGAAGGCAGAAAGAATGACTTCCATAAACCAATGTTTAATTTTTGAAATTGGAGTGGGTAATTCAGAAGGGTAATTCATGAATTCCCTAATTGTTTGTTGTTGTTGTTGTTTTTTTTTCTTTTCAAGCTCTAAGCTGGCAAGGAGACTTCATTCCTTGTTCCTACCTGTTAGAGTGACTCTAAGTTTCAATGGATATGTTGTATAAAAACATAAGGCCCAATCATTACCACTATTAGAACAAGAAAATAGCATCAATGACTCCTACAAGCTTAGAGCTAGTAGGAGGCAAAGATTATCGTTTAGTGCAGTCCAGGCCTGTTAATACATAGATGAATAGGGCATCCCTGGTGGCACAAGGGGATAAGCATAGCACAATAAAGCACTCTGCAGCCTCTGCAGCACAACTTCGATCCCCCGCCAGCCAGGCAGCAACCCACATGGCTCAGCAGACCTCTCCAGTCTCCCCGCGGCTCCCCTCAGCAGTGTCTTTCAGTCAGTCTGCCTATTCTGCTCCCAACTCTGTCTCTGGTGAATCCTCTCACACACATACCCCCACCTCTGGCTTACACTCCAGTTCTTGTATGCATAAAAAAATCTTTAAAAAATACATAGATCAACAACTTCAGACATAAATAAAGTGACTTTTCTTAGATCACCCAGAATAACTAATAAAAAAAATCACTCTTAAGTCTGCGGATTCCAAAGTATCACTTTTGTGCCAATGTACACTCTTATTTTCAATTGATAAGATGCTAACTGTGTCTGCAAAATATGCAAACATTCTAAGTCAAATGATTTCGTTTCTGTTCGGTCAATTCAGAAGCTTTGCTTCATCACCATGAAAATATAATTAGTAAAAAGGAAAACAAACATCTTAGAAAAGTTTAATAAAATGCCCCACCCCCAATTAAATCTCTTTAATGTCCTCAAAGAAGGAGGGGGAGTCCATGGCCAGGACTCATGTTACCCTGTGTTATAGGACAGGGAGAGGGGCAGCCCAAACCCCGCAAACCTGCCTATTCTACATGGGTTCTGCCATCCGCCGCATCAATCAACACAAACATATAAGACTTTAATGGGAAGGAACTTTAATAAAACTAGGAAACAATACAGGTAAGGCAAAGAGTCTAGTTTCTAGATCAAGCACCCAAAGTTACCCGTCCCCTCGTGGGTAAAAGTCCATCCAAATGGGATTGGCCCAGAGCAAGGCCCCAAAGCCTGCCACAAGTCCAAAGCATCTTCCAGTGGGGACCCACAGAAAAGGGTCACAAACAACTGGACAAGCCCGGAAGGAAAAGAACAAAATCAACATCCAGATAAAAGCTGCCATTGTCACCTCCCCACGGGTCTCACCCACATCTGTGTCACCTAGTCCACGACCAAAAGACAAGCGCAGTTTCTTCAGGTGTCTCTACGCTCCATGTGCCTCCTCCAGGTCTCCTGGCTCCATCCTGCTTCCTTCCTCAGTCTCTTCTGCAGCTTCTCCTCTTCCTGCTCAGCTCCACCCTCCCTTGGGTGGGGCAGGGAACCTCCCCCTTTCCTGGGGACCACCCTGTTACACCTGGATACAATGAATGATTCTGGAGTAAATGGGGCAAAGCCGACATCTCCGTGCAAACCCACTCCTATTGAGCACCACATTTTCTAGCCATGTTCAAGCGCCATGTTCTCTTGTTTGAAATCCTCGAGCTCAGATGTAATCAATTTGAGCTTCTAACGATCCAACAGCTTAAAATCTCCATAATAGTTTAGCCCACTGCTGTTCAACTGTCTGTAACTTCTGGAAAGGAAGGCATCTTAGCAAGACACATGGTGAGCAAGGAGTGGCAACAGGCTCTGGGGGAGGGGGGTTGGGGAGCGAGTAGGAGCCAATGGGAGACATTACCAGACCCTGGCCAGACTCTAGGGAATAGGGGATTTCATTCACTCATCCTCAGGGGCCATTTTAATACCTAACAACCCATAGGGAACAGACAGCAAATGAGCTCAATTGGTGTTGGCCACCATGTGAAGACAGGGTCCTGGAGGCACTCTGCTGTGTTCCATTGTAACTGTTATAGGACAGGGAGAGGGGCACCCCAGACCCCCACAAACCTGCCTATTCTACATGGGTTCTGCCATCTGCCGCATCAACACAAAACATATGACACTTTAATGGGAAGGATCTTTAATAAAAACTAGGAAACAATACAGGTAAGGCAAAGAGTCTAGTTTCTAAATGAAGCACCCAAAGTTACCCATCCCCTCGTGGGTAAAACTCCATCCATATGGGGTCGGCCCAGAGCAAGGCCCCAAAGCCTGCCACAAGTCTAAAACATCTTCCAGTGGGGACCCACAGAAAAGGGTCACAAACAACCGGACAAGCCCGGAAGGAAAAGAACAAAATCAACATCCAGATAAAAGCTGCCATTGTCACCTCCCCACGGGTCTCACCCACATCTGTGTCACCCAGTCCACAACCCAAAAGACAAGCGCAGTTTCTTCACGTGTTTCTAGGCTCCATGCGTCTCCTCCAGGTCTCCTGGCTCCATCCTGCTTCCTTCCTCAGTCTCTTCCTGCAGCTTCTCCTTTTGCTGCTCAGCTCCACCCTCCCTTGGGTGGGGCAGGGAACCTCCCCCTTTCCTGGGGACCACCCTGTTGCATAACCAGTCCCCAGAGGCAGGTCAGCCTGCTGGGGAGGGTAGAGTTGAGAAGCAATAATTTGCCATCTTGAGGGAGGTATGATTCTTGGGCCACCCATGGGCAGTGTCTACCCACCAAGCCACGAGCACATCCTCCATACACGTCTCCTTACTTAGCCCCACACTGCAAACTCGCCCCTTTAATTGGCTGGAGAGTTCATTGGTCCAGCAGACAGGAATAAAAGTCTCAGTGCCAGCTGGACAAAGAGACTATTTGACAGTCAAAGTAAGGATTTGAACCCAGGAAACATCCTGACAGATTTTACTCCGTGAGACCTGTTCAATCACAAATTGAAATTCAGTTATGTACCTTGTGACTGAGTCAGAGAAGAAAGCAGTGGCGAGGCACTGAGGTCAAAAAACATAGTCATTCCTCACAGGGAACCTCTGGTTTTCATCTACATATTTATATTTTTTCGATTTCTCAAGGTATCTTGACCTAAAGAAATGTCAATTCTTCTACGTGTTGAGGAGGCAAACACTGGGACTGAATCATTCCTTATTTCTAAAGAATGCAGGGTGGAGACATGATGGCCAGGGCCCCTTGAGAACTTCTTTATCTGGCTGCTTGGTGGTTAGTGGGGGCGGAAAGGGTGGTGTAGCCGCAGGCTGCTTCACAGACCAGAAGTGAGCTTGGCCTGGTGTTTCGCCGAAGGCCACGGCTTCGCTCTGGAATTCACCTTGTCAGGCTGCTCCTGGGTACAATTCCATGCTTTGATCTGTTTGTCTAAAGATCACTGAGACTTTTTCCCGTTGACAGTGGGATGGTTCAGAGCTCTAGGGGAAGGGTCCTCATAGAGCCAAGGGTGCGTGTGTGAGGCAGGACACACAAGTGAGCCAAGCCCTGTCTGACACAGACCACCTACTCTGGGGGACAGAGCAGGCACCCGCAGGAGCTGGGTAAGGGTCCCCCCAGAGATGGGGCAGGTTGGATGGAGAGGGTGGTGACCTGGAAAGTGGTTTCCTCCCAGAGAGACTAGCTTCATCTTCGCTCCAGCCACACACACACACACACACACACACACACACACACACACACACACACAGATCCTGGGTTGACTCACCTAGTCCCAAAACAGGGCCATATAGAACTGGCCTCCCCCAAAAATGTTCAGATGGGCTTTTCCCAAGATGTCCACCGCAGCCTTTTTCCAATCCATGTCACCATCGCTGTGGAGTTAAGGTCAATCCTGTGGGACCCTGTGGGCATTGGGAGAAGCAATTCCCATTAACTGACTGACCCTAATTTTAGGGTCGTCTCCAGAAATAAACTTTTTTTTAGTGGCGAAACCTACTGTAAGGCAGGGCAAAATATAGAGAGGAAGATTTAGCCATTGGAGGGTACCCCTCTATGTGGGAGGCCCCCTCCTCATTCTCCATTGTCCAGGCCCCTACTCTCCTCCTTAGCTTAACTCTAAAGCCTCAGCCTGGGGCCTCCCTGGTGGCGCAAGGGATTAAGCACCACACTATGAAGCAATCGCAGCCTCTGCAGCATGAGTTCGATCCCCAGCCAGGGAGCTACACACATGGCACAGAAGACTTCTTCTGATTCGCCTGCGTCCCCCCTCAGTGGTGTATTTCAGTCAGTCTGCCTATTCTGCTCCCCACTCTGTCTCTGGTGAATCCTCTCACCCCCCGCATCTCTGGCCTGTACCCCAGTTCTTGTATGCATAAATAAATAAGTCTTTAAAAAATAAATAAATAAAGCCTCAGTCTGTGCCACTGATTCTAGAATTTACAGCTACGTTGACTCCGTGCACTTGGAACTCCATCTATTCTTTTCTCCTATTAATCTGTCAGACTGTAGTGTGTTTGCTTGACCAGCCTGAGATGAACCCAGAGGGCTGGGGGCATTTTCCCCTGACCCTGTATCAGAAACTCAGATTTTCTAGTTTTGAACTGGATGGGCGACTTGTGCCTTCAGGCTTAAGAAAAACTGCATGGAGCGCCAAGGCTGATGATGTTCTTTAAGTGTTACAGGGCAGGGAGAGGGGCACCCCAGACCCCCCAAACCTGCCTGCTCTAAATAGGTTCTGCCATCTGCCACATCAACACAAAACACAGGAGACTTTAATAGGAAGTAACTTTAATACAACTAGGAAACAATACAGGAAAGGCAAAGAACAGAGTTTTTAAATCAAGCACCCAAAGTTACCCGTCCCCTCGTGGGTAAAACTCCATCCAAATGGGACTGGCCCAGAGCAAGGCCCCAAAGCCTGCCACAAGGCTAAAGCACCTTCCAGTGGGGACCCACAGAAAAGGGTCAGAAACAACCAGACAAGTTTGAAAGGAAAAGAGAAAAACCAAAATCAAGACAAAACCCACCATTGTCACCTCCCCACGGGTCTCACCCACATCTGTGTCACCCAGTCCACGACCAAAAGGCAAGCGCAGTTTCTTCACATGTCTCTCGGCTCCATGTGCCCCTCCAGGTCTCCTTCTGGCTCCATCCTGCTTCCTTCCTTCCTCAGTCTCCTCTGCAGCCTCTTCTCTCCCTGCTCAGCTCCACCCTCCCTTGGGTGGGGCAGGGAACCTGGAACCTCCCCCTTTCCTGGGGACCCTCCTGTTTCGTAAGGACAAGTTAAGGCTGGATTTTTCCAGGTACATCGACTCCTTCTCTATTCAAGGACAACACGCCCGAGTGTGCTCAAGTTACACGTAGTTCATCCTCCGCAGAGCGACCTCTGTGCTCTCGATGGTAAAGGCCAGTGCATGACCCTAGCCTGCAGGAGTGGCCTTGGGCAGCGGGGGTCTGCTCTCCATTCCTAGCTTTTAGAAACAGCTGCCTGGGGGAGAGACCCCTTGTCCTCTCTTTACTGCTGCCTGCAGCAAAATGCTCCTCAGCTGCCTGTGTCGTTGGCCCGATGCAGCCAACATCTTGCAGATATAAAACGGAAAATGGGCTTCTCCTCCGCAAAGCAGCAGCTGTTGAACACTATCAGAAAACGAAATCATCATACTTTAAAGCCAGATTTAGCAGTTTAAAAGAGCTGCTAAGACAAAATTAGATGGAGACGAGAGTGTGGTATTGGGAACTGACATCGCTTCCACCAAACCCTCTAATTCATGCAAAAACAACTTTAAAGCATTAAATGACTGAAGTGTTTGTGAAGGACGAGCTTTCGGTCTCTCAGTGCATGCTTGAAAAGCGTGCATGGATTTACCTCATCACCCTTCCTCTCAACCTGCTTCTAGGAAATGTCATGTCAAAACCACTTTGATTTCAATTCCAGGATGGCACATCTTTTCCTTGACCCGCCCCCCATGCTCATGTAAGGGGTCAGGGTGTCCCCTTTCTGGCCATTGTTCTAGCCCCTGCTTTGTCTGGGTTGGAGCTAGGAAGGCCCTGCACTCAGTTGGGTTGCCCAGTGAGATCTAAAGCTTGCACTTGAGATACCTATAGTTATCAATACATTTTAAGGTCATTATTTCCCTTTGGGCCAGCAACTGGTAATTTCAGAAAATCTATCGGACAAATTATTGGTACAGAAGGGTATGATTCCATCGATCAGGTCGTTTTCTCTTCCAGCCAACAGAAACCCCCCTGTGATTTGGTTTTGGTTTTATTTATTTTTCAGTTTTGCTTCCTTCACCCCCCACTGCTATGCACCGAAGGCAAACTTGTGAAGAATAAAGCGAATTATTATAGATTTACTTGTCTCCCAGCCTTCTGTAAAGTGAAATAATTGCATTCTTGCTGGATTTTTGCATCTTCTGTGGCAAGTTTTTCTTTTCTTTTTTCTTCACTCTGAGCTTTTTTTCCTCCTTTGCTAGGTAAGGACTTTCCCTGCAGAAATCACCTGCTGTTTAATGTGAAGACATTTAATGCAAGATCGTTTGACCTACTATTTACACATGACACTTAGGACCAGCGTTCTTTGCCCGTTTTTATTTTGATTAGTTATAAGGAATTGTGCAGTGATCAAATTCTATCTCGTAGCAAAGCTGGTGAACTGGGAAGGGAGTGGAGAAAGAACCACACTTTGGAAGTGGGGGAAGAGGCTGGTCTTGTTCAGGACCTGTTGAAATAAGAAGACTTGAGGAGGAATTCTAGGGAGGGGGTGCTGGGCAGGCCATCAGTTGGTACCTCCAGGCAAGGGGAAGAAGTGAAGGGAAACTGAAACAATCCTCTCTTGCTTGGGTTCTTCTATCAAGAAAGTGTAACAGGGGGGTCCCCAGGAAAGGGGGAAGTTCCAGGTTCCCTGCCCCACCCAAGGGAGGGTGGAGCTGAGCAGGGAGAGAAGAAGCTGCAGAGGAGATTGAGGAAGGAAGAAGCAGGATGGAGCCAGAAGGAGACCTGGAGGAGGCGCATGGAGCCTAGAGACACGTGAAGAAACTGCGCTTGCCTTGTGGTCGTGGACTGGGTGACACAGATGTGGGTGAGACCCGTGGGGAAGTGACAATGGAAGCTTTTTATCCTGATGTTGATTTTGCTCTTTTCCTTCCGGGCTTGTCTGGTTGTTTCTGACCCTTTTCTGTGGGTCCCCACTGGAGGATGCTTTAGACTTGTGGCAGGCTTTGGGGCCTTGCTCTGGGCCAATCCTGCTTGGGTGGACTTTTACCCACGAGGGGACGGGGAACTTTGGGAGCTTGATTTAGAAACTAGATTCTTTGCCTTTCCTGTATTGTTTCCTAATTGTATTAAAGTTCCTTCCCATTAAAGTCTCCTGTGTTTTGTGTTGATGCGGCAGATGGCAGAACCCATTTAGAGCAGGCAGGTTTGTGGAGTCTGGGGTGCCCCTCTCCCTGCCCTGTAACAGATTTGGTGCCCAACATGATTTAGGACAGAGCCATCCGTGGTTAGTCAACCCTATGGGACCTTGGACTTCCCTATGACACTGGCTACCATAAGCGCAAATGTGATTTTTTTATTTTTCTAGTGTGTTTGTTTCAAATGTAGATTTGCAGTTGAAAAAACTGGCTTGGGCTTTGTGAAGATTCTGTGTGTCTGTGTGTAGTTTGTTTGTAGTGACTTGCTAAGAGATTTGATGTTGTGGAAATTGTTCTGTGCAACAGTTTTACTCAAAAGATTAGGTAGTAGTTTGGACCATATGGCCAGATCAAAGATGGCGGCTGAGGCCACTTGGCGGGCTCTTATAAAACTCGGAGGTTCCTGTTGCTAGGACATTGGACCTTTTTTTTTACTTTTTGTGATCTCTGCTGTCTCATTAGCATTTCTAAAGGCAATAATGATTCTTCAGTAATATGTTGCTTTGACTTCTACTTCCTGACCTCTGCCTGAGGGGTTTTGCAAGCCAACTGTGGAGCAGTGGTGTTTAAATTAGCAAATGTATGCCTGGGTGTTAAGGAGAGAGTAGCCTTAAGCAGTAACTGGTAATTGCTGGTAGCCTTGATGGATTCTTGGAGATAACTTGAATTTTTGCAAAGTCTGGATCAAAAAATTAAAAAGATTTTGTCTGAGTCTGAAAGGATTTGCTGCTGTGAATTTTGTCTACACAATTTGTTTTGGGCATGTTTGCCATTTCAATCCTGGATTTGTTCAATTGCTGCTGGAAGACAAGATTCTAAGTTTCTGCTTCCTACTGAGGAAGGTCTGTTGTGGAAAACACTCTTCATGGTGCATCATGTAACTGCACCAGGTTTCCATACCTGTGTTGTTGCTGTCCCTCCCTAGTGTGGGGGAGGTGTAATCTGTGCTTTGATGTTGAATCTGCTCTTTCAGCTTCTGTCCCAGAGTGGCGAGCAGAAGTAAGGAGATGACTCCTTTTAATTGAAAGTTAATTGTTGATACTTTAATTTTGCTTTTTCAGGTTCTGTTGCAGGAAACCCAAGGATTGCCTGCTTGGTGGCTAACAAGAGATGACTCCTTTTGCTTAAAAGTTAACTGTTGATTTTGCTCTTTTTTGGAGTTTGAGATTTTTGCTGAAACTGTAGGGTATCCTACTGTACAGGATAGGGTATCCTACTGTACAGTAGGGTATCCTACTGTACAGGATACCCTAGGATTGGCTTCCAATAAAAAGGCTTAAAACACTAAAAATCCTAAGTGATAAACAAGGTCATGTAACTCTTGTAATTAATAAAACTGTTTCTTCCCATTTACAAAGTCTTAACGATTGTAAGATAACAACTGGAATCTGTGATTTCTGCCCGCAACACTCCACATTTTTTTGGAGTTTGAGATTTTTGTATGAGCCTATGGAGTAAAACTGCAGTTATGTAATATATTCCATGTCATAACTAAAAAAAAACTGTCCGTCTATATGTTGTATGTCTGTATGTCCTTGTGTCTAACTGTCTTGGCTTCTAGAGGTTGAAAAATTGGTATACATGGTGCCTATAGACATTGAAAAAGAAAGTCTCCAATTATGAGGAAAAAACTAAAGGTTATGATTTGATTGTCAACATTGTACTACTGAACTAAGCCGGTACTTCATAGAGATTGAATATTGTTGTTGCTGTTGTTTTCTGATGTTTATGGCAAATCTCCCCAGAAATATAAATTCAAGTAAAAAAATTGGTAGTCTGTCATTTGGTTGATCTAAGGAAATCTTGAGGAACCTCAGTAGAGCTCCTGAGACCTCCACAAAGTTTCTCCTTTTCCTCCTGGAAAAGGCATTAGATGAATTTGTCCAATTTGGCTTACCTAGTAGAGTAAAATTAGAAGGGAAGCTTTGTCACTTGGCAAAATGGGAAACATTGACATGTACAGAAATGTTAACATTGGTTTTCTAAAACGTGTATACAACCTCTCAGTACCTGATATGTATGTAAATTGTCAGTGGTGATTGTTGCCTTGTAATATTGTGTACTTTAATTGTTTGATATCTACAGAAATTGTTTCTGGAAAAAATAGGGGGAAATGGCCTCAACAGATTCCTATTGATGGAACTTTTGATGGGTTAAAAAATTTTTACTACAAAGGTCTGAACAGACTGTTGGAGATACACCTGATTTTTACAAAGTTTTGACATAATACTGGAAATTTTGTTGCATTTTGTTCTGATTCAACAAAGTTTTCTTCTTTTGACTGACCAGCAGCAATGTGAAATTATTATTTTTTTTCTTTTTTCAGCAGAGCTAACTTGTGTTTGCGTTTTCTTTCCCCTTGATACCAACACAGTATGAAAACAGTGGTAGTAATTTTTACTACTCATGTCAGTGTCTATTTTTGCATGACTTCCATAGGGATTTCATCTGCTTAAAACATAAACAATTGGAGATGAATTTCATTGTGTGGCTTTCAATGGAGTTCTTCCAGGAAGTTTAAATAGAGCTGAACCAAGAAGAAGAGAACCTGCTGCCTTGTTTGTAGGATTCCAGAGACCTCCAAAGAAGGTGAGGAAGCTGCCTCCATTGGCAGGACTGGACAACCCAGAAAATGAAAAAGCCCTGGTGCCCTGGAGTAGAGGAAGCCCGGGTGGAGTCTGATGAGACCAACTTTGTTCTTCAAGCCTACGTGGACCGGATGCCAAGGGTTTGCTCCAATCCTATATGGAGTATTCCAACAAAGCCAGCTGAAATTGTTGTTCGGTTATTCTGCCCTGTGATCTTATGCAAAAATGGGTAATATGGTTTAAAAGTAGATTTAGTTTGCAAACTTTTGCTATGCTGTTAACAATCTGGGATCAAGGTTGAGAGAACTTGTTTTTTACATAAGTTGAACCAATTTAAAGATTTTTTTTTCC